CAATAAATCAATAAGTAAAAATGGAAGCAGGTCACAGAGACATGAATGAGTCCTTTATAGAAAAAATAAAGGGAAGTGCTGGGAAAACTTGACAGGTTCTGAGAGGTAGATGACAGGGATATGTCTCCTTTTCCAGATGTGAAGGGCCATGTTACATTATGTAGGAGAATGTCTTTGTTAGCAGGTAATTGGGAAGAGAGGCTAGGGCACAATACTGGCAACTTACTCTCAAATGTTTGAAAAAATGTTTTTTTGTAACATTCACGCAAATTCTCTGTAAGTTTGACATTACTTCACAAAAAACAGGGAGAAAAATTTTCACTGTAAAAGTTTAAAATGTATAGATAAACTACTAGCAACACTCACAAAGAAACAGAAAGAGAGAGAGAGAGAGAGAGAGAGAGAGAGAGAGAGAACCCTAATAAACCGAATCAGAAAGAGAAGGGGGATATCACAACAGAAACCAAAGAAATTCAAAAGATCATCAGAGACTACTTTGAAAGTCTGTATGCCACAAAACAAGAGAACCTAGAAGAAATGGATAAATTCCTGGATTCCTATAATCTCCCAAAGCTGAATCAAGAAGATATAGAGTACCTGAATAGACCTATTAACATCAAGGAAATTGAAACTGTAATCAAAAGTCTTCCCAAAAACAAAAGCCCAGGTCCAGATGGATTCACTAGCGAATTTTTCCAAACATTTATTTATTTTTTATTATTTATTTATTTATTTTGCTTTTTGGGCCATACCCGGCAATGCACAGGAGTTACTCCTGGTTCATGCACTCAGGAATTACTCCTGGCAGTGCTCAGGGGACCATATGGGATGCTGGGAATCGAACCTAGGTCGGCTGCGTGCAAGACAAACGCCCTACCCGCTGTGCTATTGCTCCAGCCCCTTTCCAAACATTTAAGGAGTACCTATTGCCAGTTCTTCTCAAGATTTTCCAGGAAATTGAAAAAACAGACACTCTCCCAAACAGTTTCTATGAAGCCCATATCTTTCTAAAACAAAAAGGAAACAAAGACACCACAAGAAAAGAAAACTATAGGCCGATATCCCTGATGAACACGGATGCGAAGATTCTCAACGAAATACTAGCAAGTAGAATTCAACAACTACTCAAAAAGATCATACACCATGATCAAGTGGGATTCATCCCGGGAATGCAAGGATGGTTTAACATTCGGAAATCAATCAACATAATCCATCATATCAACAAAAGAAAATATAAAAATCATATGATCATATCAATAGATGCAGAGAAAGCATTTGACAAGATCCAGCACCTGTTTATGATGAAAACCCTTGCCAAAATGGGTACAGAGGGAACTTTCCTCAATATAGTTAAAGCCATTTACCACAAGCCTACAGCAAGCATCATCCTCAATACTATACTTAAAGAACCCTAAAATCTCTACCAAGAAATTCCTAGAAACAATGGACCTGTATAGTAAAGTTGAAGGCTATAAAATCAATACCCAAAAGTCCATAGCTTTCCTATACGCAAATAGTGAAAGAGAAGAAAGTGACATGAAGAAAACAATCCCGTTCACAATTGTGTCCCAGAAAATCAAGTACCTAGGAATCACCTTAACTAAGGAAATAAAGGACCTGTACAAAGAAAACTACAAAATGCTACTTCAGGAAATAAAAGAGGACACGAGGAAATGGAAAAATATTCCCTGTTCATGAATTGGGAGAATTAACATTGTCAAAATGGCAATATTCCCAAAACACTGTACAAATTCAATGCAATCCCTATTACGATACCCATGACATTCTTCAAAGAAATGGAGCAAACACTCCTGAAATTCATATGGAACAATAAGCCCCCATGAATAGCTAAAGCAATTCTTGGGAAAAAGAAAAAGGGAGGAATCAACCTCCCTAACTTCAAACTCTACTACAAAGCAGTAATAGTTGAAACAGCAAGGTACTGGAACACAGGCAGAGCTGTAGACCAATGGAACAGGGTTGAATATACTGACATCTCCTCCCAAGGGTATGATCATCTAATCTTCGATAAGGGGGCAAGAAAAGTAAAGTGGAGCAGGGAAAGCCTCTTTAACAAATTGTGCTGGCAAAACTGGATGGCTACATGCAAAAAAGTGGGCCCAGATCTCTGCCTAACGCCATGTACAAAAGTAAGATCAAAATGGATTAAAGACCTCAATATCCAACCGGAATTCATTAAGGTACATTGAAGACAAGGTTGGCAAAACCCTCCACAATATTAAAGGGAATGGAGAGAGAGAGAGAGAGAGAGAGAGAGAGAGAGAGAGAGAGAGAGAGAGAGAGAGATGCAGAAAAGTGCAGGCAGGGGTTAAGGAGTGGGGGATGGGGGTTATGGGCGGGAACCTTGGGGACCCTGGTGCTGGGAAACGTATATTGGTGGAGGAATGGGTATTGGAATACTGTATGACTGAAATCCAATCATGAACAGCTTTTAAGGGTCTATCTCACAATGATTCAATTTTAAAAAGTTAAAAAGAAAAAAAAAGAAAGAGTAGTGGATTAGAAAGATAGTACAGAGTGCATGATTTGCATGCAGCAGAACCCAATTTGATCCCTCAAACACAATGGAGAGTAGCCCCAACACAGTTGGATGTGGCCCAAATTCTTTTCCTCAGCCCCCACCCCAAAAGAAAGGCAGTAATTGTTATTTTTTTTTTTTGTATTTTGAAAGAAGGAAAGGTCATCTCCATAATCTTCAATATGCAAGGGGAAGCAGCATATGCTGATGTAAAAACTACAATAAGTTCTCCAGAGACCTAGCTAATTTTCATAATAAACAGATAAAACATATTTTCATTGTAGACAACAGCTTTCTTTATATCAGAAGATGCCATCTAAGAATTTCACAATTAGAGAGGTAAAGTAGAAATTTCAGAGTTAAAGAGGTAACATTAGAACCTTTCTCAAAGTTTTAAATGACAGACTGAGCCGCTTGTTAATATATAATACAGTTCACATTCCTCAGACCCTTGATAATTAGGCTAAGACAAGTGTCTGTGTTCTCTAAATGTGGATTAACTGACAGCCTGCATAGTAATAGAATACCCGTTGCTGTTCACGGAGAGATAGCTTCTAAACTATTATTGATCACTGACAGTGCACCTGATCACCCAAGAGCTAGGATGGAGACGTGGAAGAAAATAAAAATCATATACCCAGTAAAACAATATCACCAGCAGCCCATGGCCAAAATAAACTTAACTGTCTAGTCTGATTTAAGGAATGGATTTTAGGATTCAATCCTTGGTCCCTCATGGTCTCTTGAACACTGCCAGGAGTGACCCCCTAGTTACAGCTAGGTTGGAAAACTAGCCCTTTTTCTGACCCCGACTCAGGAACTCGGAGGGCGCAGTCCTGCGGAGTGCCGGCGAGCCAGTTTGGAGCTCGGAGTATTTTACAAACTGGGCCGGAGGCTGCTGCAGAAGCCCGGGTGTGCGGGGAGAGGCGGAGGGAGTTGGGCTCATGCTCAGGGGTTCCAGGGGGAAGGTGGGCACGGGAATCTTGAAAGGAACAAAGGACGTGGGGACACTTGGTTGATTGGGGAAGGGGGAAGGGGAGAGGCAACCCAGGCGAAACTGTCGGCTGGCTCAGGCTGTCCGGAGGTGGCCCTGCAATGGGTGCGGTCTTCTGGGAGGAGGTGGGGGTTCGACAGTGTCAGGAACGATGTCCCTGAACCAGCCGACCTTCGCTTAGCAAATCCTGCCTTCTCTGTTGTAGCGGCCATGACCACCTTCCAAACCAAGAGGGAGCCCATCCGCCGAGGTGTCTCTTCCCACCCCTAGCAAGATTCCCCTAAGTTCTCGGAGGCGCTCAGAGGTTCTCCTGACCCTGCACTCAGGAATGACCCCGGCATGATGGTGGGGCTGTATGGGGAGCCGAAGAAAGAACCAGGGGCCTGGCACTGCAAGCCAAGACCACTAACCGCTCTGCTCCCGCTGCAGCGACCCAAGTGAAGCCACTTGATCCTGAATGTCCCCATACCTGACATTGAAACAAAGAAAAGGGCTGGAAATCGTAAGCGTGGAAAAGTTGGGCCGTGGTAGTTTCCCCAGAATGCCATGAGAAGGCGCTGTAGGCGTTTCCTTCCCACCCCAGCCCCGTTTCTCTTAAGAATTACCCCCCACCTTGTGTTAGCTTCAGTGTTAAGTATGGGGTAATTAAGGATCAAGCAAACCGCTTCCACAGGTGCAGCGGTAGGAGAGCCCGTCTTTCACTTGAGTAACAAGGGTTTGATTCCAGCCTTCAGATCTCTGTGGGGTACATAGCTGTATCTCGGAGTGGGTTGCCCTAGCTTTGTCTCTGAACCTCGAGGGGTGCCGAGGATTGGACCTGGCCTGGACCGAGCCAGGCAAGTTTATTTTCTTACATTTTTTGTTCTCTTCGCTCTGAGCAAGCGATGTCTGTGATCAAATTCTTTGAATGTTTCCTGTTATGGGCAACCCAAACAACCCAAACCCAAATTTGGGTTGTTGTGGGCAACCCAAATTTTCTTTTTTTTTTTACTGAAAAAGACAACTCTAATCGCAACGGACCTAACTGCATTCAGGGAGGTCTCCAAACAATCCAACGCAAAACCCACGGTAATAGCCTATGGAAGAAACCAAGCGCTGACCAGCCCCAGTACCGGTGGGGAGGACAGACCAAGGGCAGGCCCTTCCCAGGCCGGCGCCCCACTTCTGCCTCTCAACCGAGAAGGACCCCTTCCCTCTTGCCACAATGCTAAGAACCCTTAGCAAGTCACTGGGGACTCGGGGAGGCTCTCTGCCCACCCCCCCACCCCCCGCGGGGTTCCCCGGGAAGGCACCCCCACCAAAACCCAACAACAAAGCGAGGTGGGCCTGGCACCCCTCCGAGACTTCTTTCTTCGAGGCCCTCCAGCCTGCTGGGCCGGGCTGCCGGAGCCCCGGGTGGGGATTGAATAATGTGTGTGCAGAGGGGGACACAGACCCCCGTGGCCCCCGGCAGGCAGGCAGTCCCGCGGGGAGCCGCAATGCTCAGAAGACACGCTCGAACTCCGTCTGGTTGGTGGTGGCGGGGTTGCGGCTCTGGCTGGTGGCCTGCTGCGCGATCTGACCGCCCTTCCGGCGTGGCGGCGCCAGGTACTCGAACATGGACGTCAGGTGGGTGGACAGCATGCCCTTGAGGTCCGAGGGCATCGGGTCGGACCAGAAGAAGTCATGGTTCAGGGCGTCGTCGCTGTCGATGCGCTGTGCCGGGTCCAGCACCAGCAGCTTGTCGATGAGGTCCAGCGCGTAGGGGTCGCGCACGGAGGCCTTCAGCCTGTCCTTCACCTTCCGCTTCTGGCCCTTGACCAGCTCCAGCTTCTCGAACAGCTCGTACTTGTCCACCTTCGGCCAGACCTCCGGGGTGATGGAGCCACAGAGCTGGCTGATGAGGGCGAGCTGGTGCTGCTCCGTGTGGCCCTGCATGATCGGGCGGCGGGTCCACATCTCCGCCATGATGCACCCGGCACCCCACAGGTCAATGGGGGGGCCGTAGTCCCGCTCCCCGAGCAGCAGCTCCGGGGGCCGGTACCAGAGCGTCACCACGCGGTTGGTGTAGCGGTTGGGCTGGCTGTTCGTGGCCAGGCTGAAGGCCCGGGCCAGCCCGAAGTCGGCCAGCTTCAAGACCCCATCTCGGGTGATGAGCACGTTGGCGGCCTTCATGTCCCTGTGCAGGATCTTGTTGCGGTGGATGTAGTAGAGGCCGTTGAGCAGCATCTGCATGACCCGCTTGATCTCGGCCAGCGTGAACTTGACCCACACGTTGCTCAGCAGGCCCGCCAGGTCGTGCTCGCAGAAATCGAACACCAGGTAGATGCTCCCCTTGCAGCGGTTATAAGGGGAAGCTCTGGTCCGACAGATCTCAATCAAGTTGACGACGTTCTCGTGCTTTAGGAGCTGAAGGATCTTGATTTCCCGCAGAGCCGTGATGGGGAACCCCTCTTTCTCGTTCTCCATCAGCACTTTCTTGAGAGCCACCTTCTGGCCGGTCTTGCGATGGTTGGCCTTAAACACCTCCCCGAAGGTGCCCTGGCCGATCTTCGCCAGCTTCTCGTACTTGGTCACCTCGTCACAAAAGGGGCACTCCACCGAGTCGTACCGCTTGGCCATGGCCGCCTCCAGCGCGCCGCCCCCTGCCGCCGCCGCCGCCGCCGCCGCCGCCGCGCCCGCTCCGGGTCCCGCGGCCGCGCTCCAGGGCCCTCCGCGGCCGCGCCACTTCCGCCTCCACGACCACTTCCGGCCTCGCGGCGCCGGCCCCGCCTCTTCCGCCCGCCGCCCGCCGCCAGGCCCCCTGGGACTTGTAGTTCCCGGGAGGCCAGGAGGAGCCGGAGCTGCGGAGGAGGAGGAGGCGCCGCCGCCGCGGCGGCCGGCCGAGGTCCCGGTCGGGGGTGGCGCGGGGAGCAGGGGCCCCGGGGCGGGGGCTCGGGCCGCCGCGTCCCGCTGCATCAGCCCGGGCCGCCGCTGCCGCCGAAGCCGCTGCCGCTCTGGCGCCCGATCCGGGGCCCGCCGCAGTGCCCTCCGCCTCCGCCGCCGCCGCCGCCGCCTCCGCCTCCGCCTCCTCCTCCTCCGCCGCCGCCTCCGCCGCCGCCTCCGTCTCCGCCTCCGCCTCCTCCTCCTCCGCCGGGCTGCGCGGGGCGGGCGGGCGGCTCGGCGGGGGTGGCGGCCCCCGAGCCGCGGCCTGGGGGGCTCCCTGGCGGCGCGGCCCGGGGCCCGGCGGCCGGCCGAGGGGGCGAGCCGGGGATAGCCGAGGCGGAGGCGGCCCCCCAAATTTTCTTAAGAGTGGGAAATTCTTAGAGAAATGGGCCTGGGAAGGGACGGAAACTCCTCACAGCGCCATCTCGTGGCGTTTCTGCGGGACTGCCGCAGCCCGGCTTTTCCACGCTTAAGATTTCCAGGGGCTGGAGCAATAGCACAGTGGGTAGGGCGGTGGGTAGGGCGGTTGCCTTGCGTGTGGTCGATCTGGGTTTGATTCCCAGCATCCCATGTGGTCCCCTCAGCACCGTCGTCGTAATTCCTGAGTGCATGAACCAGGAGTAATTCGTGTGCATCGCTGCATGTGACCCAAAAAGTAAAAAAAAAAAAAAGATTTCAAGCCCTTTTCTTTGCTTCAATGTTTAGTATGGGATCATTAAGGATCAAGCACATGGATCGAAAACTGTGCCGGGAGGGCACTTACCTTGAATGGAGAGATCCGTGTTCTATCTCTGCACTCCATACATTCCTCGGAGCACCGTCAGGAGTGATTCCTGAGTGCAGGGGCAGGAGTAACCCCCCGAAATCGCCGGGTGTGGTCCCCGAAACACAAACAAAACCCTTTCACGGTTCAAACAAAACCCTGCCACAACTTTTTTTAGGGCAGTCAGGTGGTCCTGTACTGTGCCTGAGATGGAACCCCGGGAGAGCACAGAAGATGAATGTGCCTTCCTGCAGTACGATCTCTTCAAGCAAACCCGTTCTTACAGGTCTCCAGCCCTGTCATTTCATCCCCCAACACCCCACATTTCTGACAGTGTATCTTCCTCCCTCCCTAAGAGAACTTTGGGGTTCCTGTACAAACGAAAAGTCCCAAGTCCTCTGTTTTCCGTAAGGAGGATGGCAGAGGCCAGATTCAACTCCAGAAGTTTGGGGTGAAGTTACCTGCCATCAGAGGAACTTGGGGTGGGTTGGGAAGAACTTGACTAAAAATGGCAATAATGAACCTTGGCAGCCAATCTCCTTCCTTGAAAATTCTAAATGCATGTACAATTCTGCTGAGGATTTTTTTTTGTTGTTGCTTTTTGGCTCACACCCAGCGATGTACAAGGGTTTCTCCTGGCTCAGCACTCAGGAATTACTTTTGGCGGTGCTCAGAGGACCATATGGGATGCTGGGAATCGAACCCTGTTCAACCACGTGCAAGGCAAATGCCCTAACCGATGTGCTATTGCTCCAACCCTACTGCTGAGGATTTTCAATATTATATGGGGGGTTGGTGTGGGCCCGCGGGGTTCTGGGGCCCATTAGAAATGCCTGGCATTGAACTTCGTCTGCCACAAGGAAGGCAAGTTTTCATTTTTAAAAAAATTAAACAAAACTGTTATGTTCTCTCTGAGCAAGACAAGTTCTAAACCCACTCTGCCAATTCTCTGGCTGAAGTGCTTCATAAAAGTTTCCTGTTACTGTGCACCCCACCCCATATTTCTGAGGGCGTTCTCTGGAGCGATAGCACAGCGGGTAGGGCGTTTGCCTTACAAGCGGCCAACATGGCCGACCCGAGTTCGATTCCTCCGCCCCTCTCGGAGAGCCCGGCAAGCTACTGAGAGTATTCGATATGCCAGACACAGTAACAACAAAGTCTCCAATGGAGACGTTACTGGGCCCGCTCGAGCAAATCGACGATCAACGGGAGGGCCTTTACCTTTACCTTTATGTTTTGAAGGGTCACAATTGATGCTCAGGGGTGACTACTGGCTCTGTAGTCAGGAATCACTCTTGGCATAATTAGAGGACCATATGGGATACCAGCGAAGGTGCTCAAGTCTGCAGGACGCAAGGCAAGATCCCTAAAGGCTCTGCTACTGCTGCATGCCACAGGCTGCAAGCTGAATTCTTAATTACCCCATACCTAACATTGAAGCAAACCCAAGGGTGAAATTTCTTAGAGAAACGGGCCTAGGGAGGGACAGAGACGCCCAACAGTGCCATCTCGTGGCGGTTACGCGAAACTGCTGCGGCTTGAGTTTCCCACCCTTGAGATTTCCAGTCCTGGGGTTCGTTTCAATGCTGGGGGTCATTAAGGATCAAACACGCAGCCTGGGAAGATAGTGAGATAATAGTGGGTTAGGCGCTTGCCTTGCATCGGTTTGGAACTCTTGCACCCCATATGGTCCCCTGAGCACCGACAGGAATAGTTAATGATTGGAGGGACCACGCCCTGAGCATTGCTCCGTGTGCCCCCCCCCCAACCAGATGCTTGCCGCCCTCCACAGCCCCCCACATTGACTGGCCCCACAAGCATCTCTGGCTTCTTATTTGGGTGTTCAGAATTTGCTATTCCCAGTGGGGTTTGGGGGAACATAAACATGATCTTCGTCCCCTCCTCACCCTCCGTACTGACTCTGTGGGCAAGTGACACTGGGTTCTTTATTGGGGAGTGGGGTCGGTGGCCACAGCAGAACTCCTGGGGGTGCTAAGGGACCCTACACAATGCCGGGAATTGATCTGTGTTGAACAAAGTATTGCCTCCCGCGTATTCTATCTCGAAGAACCCCATCACCCTACATTTATTGAAATAATGTTTCCCTGTTCTTATGTGTAGGTGGTGAGGTCGAAGCAAGATTCAGCTCAGTACCTGGGGCCTGAGGTGAACTCAGTTGGCAAACTGAGGTTATGGTTTTTGTTTGCTAGTTTCTGATTGGGGGGGCCACATCTGGTAATGTTCTGGGATGATTCCTGGCTATTCTTTCATTAATTACTCCTGTAGGTGCTCAGAGAACTATATGGATTCGCACCCGGTTTAACTGCTGAAAGGGCAGTGCTTTTCTACCCACGTTTCTCCTGCCCTATTGCAGGAGACCTTTAGAACTGAGTTGGTTGGAGACATGGAATGCAGGAAGGCAAGCCTCTCCTGTGTCACCCTGTTCGCTCTCGAGCACTGCTCACTGGGTGTCCCTCCACGCAGAGAGTGAGTGGGGCGAGCCCCAGGCAGCACAGACCAGTTTATTCTCTGATTCTCAGCAGGGCGCTGCAGGACCGGAAGATGCTGGACTCTCTCATCCCCTCCAGCCCTTGGCTGGTGTAAGCGAGTCGAATCCACCACAGGCGGCCTCCTCTTGGCACATACATCCCTTGAGAATGAAGGCAGCACCACTGGGATCAGGGGTCACCCCTCAACCCCCACTCCACTCCACCCGATCCACATCTCCTGATCTGGCCCAATGATTTGGGGGAGTTGGTCAGAGGCAGGAGGGGTGGGGCAGCATCAGGAGCTGGGCTGAGGGGAGTGTCACACAAGCTCCTCCAGGGGGACCCAGTTCCTTTTGGAGTCCGACTTTGGTTCCTACACTTGGGGACCCCCACCACACGCCCTGCTCCCCCAAGTGTTAGTGGAAACCAATGGGCAGTCTCTGCCAAACAAGAGGGAACCCAGTGGTCAACAAGAAGGTTTGGAAGCACCAGAGTTTTTTTTTGTGGGGGGGGTGACAGGGTGGGAGGAAGGTTTGGGGGGCCGTATCAGCTTCGAGCTGGAAGTCCTTCCTATGGGGTACAGGGGTGCTAAACTTCCAGCTAAACTTCCGCTGCGCCCCCCCCCAAGAGAGGAGGAGAGAAGTTTGGGGTCTCCCCAGGGGCTGAAGACGGAAGGAGATTCCTCTTGTCTGACCGTGAGGCAGTTGCAGGTGAAGATAGATAGGGCAGCTCGAGGCCTCAGCACCAGTCTGTGCCCCCTCCCGGGACCCCCGAGACTCTCAGCTACTGACGCAGACAGGCCCCAGCTGGAAGCCGAACTTCTGTTCAGGCTGTGCGAAGGCAGCGGCCACGGCCTAAAGCAGCGGCAGGACGCGTCCCTATCGGTGCTGAATTCCAACAGGGTCTGGGCCTGGCCCCTCTGGATCTGCGGGGTGCGGGCAGGGCGGGCCAGGGGCTCGGAGACACCCCTGCGCGTTCCCGCCGCCCGCTCCGCGGACTCGGCCGCCGTCCTGGGGGGCCCGGAGCGCGGCCACCGCCGTCCGGTTGGGGCCCAGCTCCTGGCCCGCTGGCCCTCAGCAAGCAGCTCAGCGGAGGGCCCTGACCCCCCGCAGTCGCGTCCAGGCCGAGGCGGAGTTCTGGCACAGGCAGGTGCGGGTCCGCGGGCGCCGGTGCTCAGCAGGGACAGGAAGGTCCGCTGCTCGCTGCCCACCAGGCCCCGTCCGCGTCCACTTAGGAGATTTGCGGGTGCCCGGGCTGGAGTCGGGGGCCAGCGGGCCACCAGGTACAGGCCAGCCAGCCCCGGCTTTTCCTCCTGTTTGCACTTGGCTTTGGCTTTGCACACCCGGTGGTGCTCAGAGGTCACTCCTGGCAGGGCTCAGGGGACATTATGGGGTGCCCGGAATCAAACCCCGATCCACACGTGCAAGGTCAGCGGGTCCCCGATGGACATCACTGTGGCCGGGCTAAGCCTCTTTCCCTCTGGAGACGCCTGTGCTCTCTCCCCAGCGCATGCTTCTCTCTAAACCTTACTAAGTAAGTTTCTATAAAAACTACCTTGTTGCGGGCCGCATAGC